AAATTCTGTGTTTTTCTGTCAATATGGGGTGCTGTGTGTACATTAATGAGGAAAAAAATGAACTTAAATGATTTTAGCATATGGCTGCAATATAACAAAGAGTGAAAAATTTAAGGGGGTCTGAATACTTTCCGTACCCACTGTATGTGCAGACAGACAACTGTCAGCACATCAGATGTTGAATTGGTTTGTCTTTATACATCCAAATAACTTTATGGCTCATTCTTATCAGTCCATATCCCTGTACAGCCACAGTTACTGGAGTCATAGACTCCTAGTAGTTGAGCACTCTGCTCTGTTTGTTGAGCCAGTCTAGGGTTTGTCTCTACATGACGTCATCGTATCAGTTTTATTCTTCCGCTCTTCAGAGACTTTAAATTCACAAGTGAAACCTGAGCAGTTTTATACATGTAAATTCCCTTATAGGGCAGATTTCCTCTTTAATTCTACTGGTTAAGACTTAGTCCTGTTCAGCTGACCACAGATCAGTGTCTTGTTACACAGTAGTCCAATCAGTTGTCCTGAGCAGCTTCCTGGCCATGCTTGGAATGAGGCAGCCTGTAGCTCTTGGCTGCAGTGGGATTCAGTTACCTGCCAGTCTACAAGCTCCACATTGTACTGTGTCCTACAACAGGCGGGTAGAGCAGAGGAGAGTGAGATGGACTGGACCCTTGTGGCTGAGTTGTTTCTCTCTCACTGAATCTCGTTGTCTCTGTTTTGTTTTTCCACTGAGAGGGAAGCTGCTGGAACTGGAGCCATAAGATGACATAAGTTTTTGTTTTTCATTCCTGCACAGTGGTGAAAAGTTTACAGCAGTTTTTATGCTGTAAGATGAAGACATGGATGACCTCAGACTTTATATTTATTCAATGTCTGGCAGTAGTGGTTGTAGTTTGTCCTGTGATATACAGTACTATGTGTGTTGCATGCCTTTTGTTTCTGCAGGCACAAAACCGTGGTCAAATATTATGGAGATCCTTGATGAGAAGGATGGAGTAGATACAGAGCTGCTGGTGTATGCAATGACACTCATCAATACGGTCAGTGAATACTATTTAGTGAATATTACTGCATCACCTAGCAGGATACCATATTTTTGTCTTTCTGAGCTGCCATCCTTCAGACCACTGTTACATACTGGATTAGAGTTTAATCAACATCTGTTTGGGTAAGGTGAAAAGTCAGCACAGCAGCATTGTTTCCAAAATGTGATCAGGCCACTTTGTCATCTAGATTGAATCAGCTACAATTTCAATTTGTATATTTTAATTACATTTGTGACAAAGTGTCACCAAGATGAAACAATAATGGCTGTTAAGATTGCCATCCACTCAGCGTAACCCAAGGATGTCGTGTGACATCCACCAGAGCCATTGTAAAAGTGGAATTTTTTGACTGCGCCCAGTTTTGTGGATATATTTTCCCTCCTGCTGCTGCACTGTGACCAGGACGTGGAGAAAAATACAATGCCTGAGGTTACTGCATGTCCGGGAATGTTCCTGTACTGGGACTCCTTGTTTTACTTGACCGGGTCTAACCTACAATCAGCTGCCAGTGAAGCCCCCCACAGCGGTGAATGATCAACTCATCAACGTTTGATTCCCCCAGAGCACAGTACCTGTTTGTTTTGACTGCTTGAGGCCAGTGCAACTGCCACATGTGATGTGTTGCTGGTGAAGGATTAACCAGATTAACCATCCATGATGTTATTGTTGCTGTAATTTCACTACTTTGGGACTGTGTGTGTGTCGTGGGGAAGATGCAGCGACTACTGGTTGGATTTACCGACCTTGGAGCTGCTTGAAAGGGAGTGATGTTTCCATCACTTAATGGTTGCATGTCTGCTAATGCCTTGTTTCTGTAACGTTAGAGAGAATTGTTGTAAGGAGAAGTTACTATGTCTTCATTATACAAGTTAAAATATGGGTTTCTCAGTTACCCGCTTTGTTTAGAGTGTTACACATCTCTTTTCATCTTTATATATGATATACCATTGTTTACCTGTCTATGGATGAGAAATTCAAATTTTTAATTCTGTTGCAGTTCGTTGCGCTGTTCACTTTCAAGGCGACACCAGCAGCAGGAGGTGCGCTTGCTCATGAAGCCTCTTGTTTTTAGGAAGAGGTTCTCTGGTCTTATTGTTCTGAAATAATTACAGACTATTTAGAGTTATGAGAGGTGCAAAGCTAATCTAGAGGTACCTAAGATTAAACATTAAATGGCTAGAAATGAGCATGCCATGGGCGCTTTAAGATTTGAGTGGTTATCACTTCTTCTACTCCTCCTCGTGAAGGAAACACTGTAGTGGTTTACAGCAGCAGAAACCAAAGAAGTTCTAAAAAAAAAACCATGCATATCAGATACCTGCCATGTTTCTGATGGTGCACAGAAAAGATTTCATCTAATCACACTGGAGTCAAAATGCACACAATATAAATACGTATAAATAGCCCTGATTGAAGTTTATTTAGATAGAGCATCTGGCGACAGATTACATTACAATACCAGGTTTAAACAAAACCACTTCAGAAGTAATTGTACTCCCTTTCCTTTTTCTTCCGTTTCCTTTCTCTCATGGTTACTCTGAAATATTGTGAAGACAAGGCTAGGACTCTTTTTTTTTTTTCCTTATTAATGCAAGGTGTGTGTCTATGTTTCAGACTCTGGCAGGCCTCCCAGACCAGGACTCCTACTATGACATGGTGGACTGTCTGGAGGAACAGGGTATCGAAGTCATGGCCCAGAGACACCTGAGTAGAAAGGGCACTGACCTCGACCTTGTGGAACAGCTCAACATCTACGAGGTCAGAAACCCTATGCCACAAACCATTATCACGTAACAAACAGCATTAGTGGAATGTTAAGAAGCGTTTGTGTCTCAGAACAGGTCATAGGTCACATGACGTGAGAGGCTCAGACAGCAGCCAGAAATTGTTTACAAAGATTAATGTTTATGAATAATATGCATACAGCTAATTTACTCAGCTTCGCTGTGATGTCTCATTGTCCCAGGTGACTCTCCGTCATGAGGACGGTGACGATGAAGCCCAGGTTCCTCCCAGTGGCCGAAAAGGCCGTCGTCGGGCCAGTGTTGGCGGCACCAGCGAGAAGCGGGGCCTGGAGCGAAGACGCAGCCGGAGGCATTCTCTCCAGAACAGAGGCCATGCTTCCGCCCCAGCATCACCCAGCAGCCCTCATACTCAAGCAAACAGCTTCCCCCCTTTTGGTGGCCAATGTATTGAAGACATCAGTGAAAGGTGAGGCGGGGGAGGACAGGGAGGAATAGAACAGTGGACGATGTTCAAGAGTAAAAAAGCCCCCATTCTCCATTTTAGCTTGAACTTGGTCTGACCCTGGTTTTAAAAGGTTCAGCCAGGAGTGGGGTTTTTTTGATCTTGCATGTTATATTTCAGTCTTGGAGAACTGCATCTACTCTATAAAGAGCCAAAACAGAGGATCTGATTACTGTGTACAGTCATTTAAACCAAGGCAACAAGGACACTACTCCAGCAGTGCATTATCCCTTCGTCAAAGACATTTTCTTGCTGCTGATGAAAATAAGAAGCTTCTGGAAACACATGATATGAGCTATCTGCTTTCTGTCTCAAGGCCTGCTTCCTTCAGCGCGTTGAGCTTTAACTCCACAATGGCATCTGTTTTAAATATATGACAAACTTTTGTAATTACACAAACTCAGAAAAGCCACAACTGGTGAATCAGGCAAGGAGCAAATTGTAGTCTTGTTTAATTATACAGTAGCTTGGACCATGTCTTATAAAAACACCAGAAAATGCAGTCAGATGGTTCCTTTTTATTGAGATTATGTTAACCGGTTATTGCTTATTTTATTATAGGTCATGCGTCAGAAAACAAAAACCGGGCTTTACTTTAAAGTGGGAATTATTTGTTGCCTGCTTTTTTCTTTAAAATCATTATTGATTACTTCTTTTTTGATTGACACATAACCCAGTCTTTTTTTAGATTAGCAAACATACTATACCAATATTCCTAGTAGTGTTCAGGTATACTTAAATTAAATCCAGCAGGTCATGTGATACCAGACTAGTTTCTTCCAGTCCACCACAGGAAATTCAAGCCATCTTTGAAGATCACCATTTTCCATATTGTTAATGAAATCCAGACAACCAAAGCGGATCCAAATACCAAGCTAACTACAGACTCACATATGGGTTTGTAGCCCTGACTACCAGTTCGGACACAGAAGGTCTTCTACACTGGTCCTCAGTTCAAATCACTGGGAAATACTTTTTGTATTCCTACTAGTGTTGAAGTTGTAACTGTTGCCTGTGTGAATCCGTGTCTAACATTTGAGGAGAGTCTTGTCCGAACCTTCTAACATTCTCATACATCTTTCAATGCTTCCTTCTCTTCTGCACTTGTGCTGTTTACCTGACACGTATGTTTGTAGTGTCATTTCTGTGTGTTGTCTCTGCTGTGTGTTTTCATTTTGTCTGTGTTCAATTTCTCTTCCTTCTTGCCTGCCTACATCCTCCCTTTCCTCCTTTCGACCCTCGACCCCTTCTCTCACCACAGAGAAGAGGAAGAGGAGGAAGATGATGATGATGAGGAGGAGGAGGAGGAGGAAGAGGATGACGAAGAGGATGAGGAAGAGGCAGATGATGAAAGTCATCCAGCCACTGAATCCTCTAGACAGGGTGCTCACAGGTATTTTAGGCCAATCGGTTTCCCAGTTGTGATACAGTTTCCCCATTTTCCTCCTAGTTTCTCTTCCATTTGAAAGTATAGTTATCATCTTTCCCTTTTGGACTCTCTTGTATTTTGTCATCCTAGTGTGGCTCCAGCTGTAGCAGACACTCCTAACATGTGTTTGAACTTTAAGTGTATGGCCAACATCCTTCCTAAAGCCAGTGACCCTGAAGGGCAGAGAGAAAATCTCAGCATCAAGACCAGGACATCTTCTCCTGTGTCCGTCGCACCTAAAAAGAGGACCTATAGTCCTTGGTGTGTTCCTCCCCAGCCACCTGACTCTGTCTCTCCCCTGTTGCCGAGTACAGTGCCAGGCTCTGCACGCCCCCAGTGTCAGTCTACCCCAACATCACCCAGCTTCTTTCTCCCACAACTTCTCCCTCCTTTCCCTGACTTGAACCAGAGCCATGTAGCTGTTGGGATCAAGGAGAAGGGCCAGGACAGAGAAAGGCGCTACAGGTAGAGAGCAGGAGCTACTGTACAGTTCATCTTGTGTTATGTCCAGGCCATTATGAATCATGATGTGGAAACGTACTGTCCCCATCACTGGTGTTTCTGTCTCTGTGTTCACCTAGCAGAGACACATGCAAGAGGTGTAAGAGTAAAAACTGATAGTATATTTATTACATTACAGGTTACATTTTATTCTTTTCTTTAAAATTTTTTCTTCTAAAGTGCCCCATGAGTATTTGAGTATGACACACTGTAACATAGCTCCTCCCTACTTCTGTCATTATTTAAAAATGCTTTCTTGATCAAAGTGATCAGATATTTTCTGTCAGATGTGATTTATGTTACATCTGTCATCTCCCAAGCGGTACTGAACCAGAAGAAGGAAGGTTATAATTACTTCCTTTTCTCAATTTCTGGAAAGCATTATTTTGCAGACATTCCCTGCTCATCTGTCTTTCATTGTGGCTCTGAACCACAGTTACCCCATGACAAGTCAGTAAAATAATTGAAAGTATAAAGGAATTCAAAGTATTAGCATGAGTCAGCGTCACTGTCTCCTGGTAGTTCATGTTTCTGCAGAGATCTTTTGCAATAGGTACGGGAATGGCAGTGAACTCTGGACTGGTACAGCGGTTTCTCAACATGTAACCCCGATGCCTTTCAAGCATGATTATAGCAATGATTTTAGCAGTGGATAGTAAAAAGGGATCCAGTGAAAACTTGTGAAACAGTTTTATATATTAGGATTGATAGTCGTTTTATTGCTTTAAAACTAAATAAAGCAAACAATAATATTGCCCTGTCCCTGTCGGCTTTATCACTGTGTGGTCTTGCAGCCCTCTGATCTTCAACTGCTATAGCAGCTCACTATCTTGTCTATGTGACTAACACTTAATTGTTTTATCTTTAGTGTCTGACCCAAGTCTTTTTTTTCCTCACTTCCATCTTCAGTCTGAAAGATACAAACAACTGTCCCACATCTTACACAAGTAGAAAGCCCTGCTGGGCTGAAAGGTAAGGCCACGAGTCAGTGAGTCAAGTTAAGGGACAAGATGTACATAATAGCTCTGAGGCACAAAAATGCAGTCTAGCTGAAAGTTTTGTAGTTGAACACTAGTACAGCACTAATGACAGTGATTGATTCTCTTAAGTAAGACCTGGTATACACTTGGTTTTAAAATGCATCCTGGGTGATCAGATCACAAGTGAACAGCACTAAATGCAAGTGTGGACGAGCACCAAGCCTTTCAATATTTAAGCGGAAGTGTTGCAGCAGTGTTGAAATGTGAACACTAGTGGTCAGCTGGGCATCTTCGAGGCATGTATATTGACAAAGGCGATGCGTCTCAGCAGTCCACTGGTGTTTGCATCACTGAGATGCATTTTAATACCAATGAGGCCAAAATGCTGTACTTCACTATTGGATTCAGCTCAGCTATTACAAGACTTCTGAGAAATGAGTACATCAGATTATTTTATGAAAATGATCCTTATACACGGGCATGGCTGAGCAATGCACTTGCCATTTTGTGGCATGCCTTTCCTCAGAAAAGTTTTTCAGATGCTTATGAAGAAGTGCTTAGGAGCCCAGTCATAGCTTGGTGTAAACTCTAAACCTCTTCTTTGTCTTTCAGTAGAACAATATATTAGAACAAACCATTTATTTTCCCCCTTCTTTTAACAGAATCAATGCCAATGGCACGCCATACCCTGGCAGGCACCAGCCTCCACCATCACCCATCCATCGCTTTACTAGTTCAGCAACCTCCACACCAGACTCCAGACCTGACAGGTTAGCATGTGAAGTTTTCCATAGTTAATACACAACTTACTCTAGATATGGCTGATTAAGTGAAATCATCCGTTAAGCTCATTTTGAACAAAAACCTTAATAAAAAGGCAAACCAATCACCCAGTTTTAATTATGTCATCACATTTGTTCTAAAGACCTCCTTTAGGGGGTTTGCTAACTTCATCATACAGACAGCATCAGGAGTCTCTGGCTGCAGAGAGAGAGCGGAGGCGTCTGGAAAGAGAAGAGCGTTTGCAGAGAATCGAAAGAGAAGAGAGGAACCGCTTCAAGTTGGTCTCATCACACAAAGCACTGCTCGACTCCATATAGAGAATATTTCTTTTCATTTGTAACTGGCTTCAGTCTTGAATCAGGAGGGATATTTAGAAATATCCAGTGAATCTGATAAAAACTGGCAGTCGATCTTTATGAAGGTCATTAGATAAACTGAGCCAGGACGGGATGACTCTGCAAAAAGAACATGTTCAGCTCACATTTCTTCTCTTAGCATATCTGTGCACCTATCATTTTAGTTAAGCAATCATCATATTTGAAATAAAATATTTGTTTATACATACACATACTATGAATACGTCCTGAATTCTCACTTCATCGCGCCCTTTGGTTCCGCTTCTGTCTTTCAGTCGAGATTATGTCAACAAGCGTGAGGAAGCAAGACAAGCCAGAGAGGAAAGGTGAGCAGACTTTATCTCATGGGTTCAAATAAATTCACAATAATGCTGCAGTTGTGAAGCTGGATAAAAAACGAAGGATGTTTGTAAATGCTTTGAGATCCTTTCCTACAATTGACAGCACGTGTGAAGTGAGTTGCACCCAGCCTCAGGCTGCACTATAGATGTCGGGGCCCCTTTAGGCCTGCTCACCATTAAGATGCTCCAGTGTTAAGAGGACAACTGTGTAACTGAGGTTTGACCTAGATGTGGTGCAGTTACGGATTCCTATGCCCTGCATCTTATAGAATTTTAAAGAATGGATGAAAACACATGGCAAAAATGCTAAACAGCATTTTGGCAACTGTATAAAAAAAAAAGGTCACCATTTGTCAACATTTGAGCTCCTGGGTAATGAGATTAGAGCTGCATTGTTCCATAACAACTGAGGAATAAGATGGCTATGTCAAAAATGTTAAATATCAAACTTTATTTATATAGCACTTTAAAAATATCTTGCTGACCAAAGAACTTTTTTTTTTTACTGTATTTATATAGCGCATATTTCACAGCATGTTACACTGGCCAAAGCGCTTTACAGGAGATCATACACCATTCACCCATTCACACACACATTCATACACAGATGAATTCACACTTCACATAAATACAATAATAAATAAAAAGAGGATCATCATAGAAAGTAAAAAACTAAACAATTACATGTTGATTATTATTCATGAAAACCTAAAGGAATATTCCATCACTGTTTCCCTCATATTCCTAAAATATCTTCTCAGTAGCTTGTGAATTTCAGTGTTTCACATTCTTTGAGAAACCAAAGCTAAACAATACCAGTTTGCATTCCTTTGCATGTGTCTATCAAATTCATTTTACTACAGATATCAAGCGGCTGATTTAAACAGCTACTTACATTTTTAAATCTAATGTAAAAAGCTGTTTTGCTACTGCAGGTACAAGGCTGTGGAACGGTTAGCTGCAGAGGAGTTGGAACGTGAGCGCCCTCGAGTGCCAGCAAGAGGACGGACAGAGATCACTTTGTGTTTGAGTCCAAGCCCAGCCAGCCGCCCAGCATCTCGCTGTGCCACATCTTCATCCATCATCTCAAAGGAAGACACCATCAAAACTGCGCCCCAAACACCGGGTAGGTGGTGTTTGCCAACTATTTATTCATCATCATTAGTGCCTGAGTGAAATGAGCCTGAATGGACTGTAATGCTGGCTCACAGAGTTGGCAGAGACAATACTGGCTCTCAGTGCACCTGTCACATGCACTGGGCCTGGCATTAGCACTTGACGGGTGATTATCTCTCAGGAATTAGATTCAGCTGCACTTCTGTTGAAAGGGGTTATTGAGAATACAGTTTTTCTCAGTGGCTTTGTATGAGGCAAGACAGCTGGCAATATCAGTCATGCATATTAGTCTATGGTTGTGCATAAATGAATAAGTTGTACACAAAAATGTTTTCATAAACTCTTGTATAAGTCAAATCATGTATAAAATATGTAGTTTGTGTTTTGTCTGTGAGAATATGCTTTAAAAAGTTACAACTTCAGGAAATTACAAATGCAAAGTGAAAACCTATGTTTGTGTTTTCCGTAATATGAATATGAATTTACAACAGTGACCACTGTCAAAACATGTCAGAGTCACAGGCATAATGTGTTGAGCTGAAGATGCATCAATTCCACAAACTGCACATCTGTTCAAATTTGGTCATTATTCTTGACTCTTGAAGCCTGATGGATGTGCTTTGACAGATATGAAATGATACTTTAGGTTAGATTTATTGGATATGGGCTGGATATAAGGTTTGTTTTATTGATGATTAGTGGTTATTATGGCCTCAGTTGGGATCTGTGATGGAACCATATACACAATCATAGACTAATACACATGCATATTATTGCCAGCTGTCTTACCTCATAGCTTTGGTACATTTCTTGATTTGTCCATGATATTTGCAAAACAATAAGAGCATTTCTCCAAACAGTTCGTATAAACACCACCATACAGTGGATTACCTGCTAAAACACATCAGTGGCTCAAAATCCTTAGCTTATCTCGCCTCAAAAGTAAATACTTCTGTCAATGAACATGTCAGCTCCATCAGAATGACAAGTCCTTGTGTCATCATTTGCAAACATGGCAGTCAGAATGTTTAGCCATGCTGTCAATACAACAGTGTACTCTGGAAGTATTTTGTGTAAACTGTGGCTCAGGTTTGGATGACAATGATTGAAAATACACAAGGCCACACTTGTTCTGTACGGCATGTGTCAATTTCAACTGCATGTGGGAGATGGATTGTAAAAGAGAAAACAGAATTCACATTTAGGCTTTTAGTATTTTTACTGTCATTGTGATACAGAAAAGAAAGTGTTGCATGGCACTGCATAGTGCAAAGGAAAAGACACAACATTAGAAATGTAAGTACAGGAAACGGCCCCTAGAGAGAACAACTGTTCTCCCAGCATTCAGCTGCCTTCGACCAGCCTCAGCCATTGTAAAGCCAGGACGGACAACATGGTCCACAAGTGTGACCCTTTAATCACATGCTGATGTCCTTGGCTTCTTCACCCTATTCCTCTGTTTTGCCACCCTAACCTTCCACCACACAGTCCTAGTCCTTTTCTTCCTGGTAGTTAATGCTCTTTATTTTCTTGTTTTTCCATTGTTAGAAATTGTAACTCTGTGTTGTGCTCCGTCTATACCGAAGCTGAAAAAACATAGAAAAAAATCAACTGGACTTGGTTTTTAGGTCAAAGATGTTTCACCTCTCATCCAAGAGGCTCCATCAGTTCTGCCCAACTGGCGTTGAGTCGAAGATATTTATCCCCATTGTTGGTGTTTTAGTCCTTAGATGGCCAACAGCGCCCCTAACCACTGGGTCGTTATAGCCCAGTATCGGTGAGCGTCGATACCTGTCTTTGAACCCTCACCTGTGGACCGACGCCTATTGTCCTGGTGGGCATGTTTGGGCAGAGATCTCAAAACAGAGTTGTAGATGGATGACAAGTTGTGTCTTAGTCCACTGCCCCTATTTAGAGATTCTTATACAAGATGTGCAGCCGTGACTGGATGATGTGGAATAAGTAGTTTTGAAAATTTCTGATCTGAGAAATGTACAAAAGTGACTGTGGAAAACTAAGTACTTCACTAGAAATACATATTAAAATGATTAAATGTATGTATTGTAGTAAAATAGTGCATCTAGAGGGTGAGGAGGAGGTGTAGATGCACACAAATGTCAGGATTTCCTGCTGTTGAAGTGGCTGGTAATGTTCCAGCCAGAAGCCTTTACTGATTGCTTTATGAATGGATGAAAATGTACGCTGAGTTTAGACAGTCTCTCAGTGCAGTTAAGGATATGTCAGGAAGCAATTTAAAGCTGTTTGAATTATAAACAAAGAATGTTTGTGAAGACTATCAGATAATATGCAGTAAAACTGAAGGATTTAAAGTATTTTAAATTGTTTTGGTTTCTCTTCCAGGTGTGGAACACATCTCGGAGTCAAACCTTGACCCACAGACCAGAACCAAAAGTCCAACGCCAGAATTAACAGTATCAGGACAGGCCGCCACACCTCCCCCCGAGCCAGACAAGCAGCAGACTGAGACAGAGTCGCCTGTGGAGACGGAGGATGTTGCTGAGACTCAGAATGTAGCAGCAGAGCCAGCATTAGATGAACAGTCAGACATAGAGAAAGAAGAGAGGCAGGAACAGGAGAAACTTGAAGAACAGAAACAGTGCGTGGATGAGGTAGAGGTAGAAGAATTGAAGGTAGCAGATGTGTCAGAGGTAGAAGAGCCAAATGTGGAAGTGGATGTTGAGTTAGAGGAGGGGTCTGAGAAGGAGCGGCCGACAGAAAGGGATATAGAAGACAGTGTACTGTTGAGTGAGAAGGAGCGACAGAATGAGGAAGTGAATGAGAAGGACAACTGTTCTGCATCAAGCATCTCCTCTACCAGTAGCACTCTGGAGAGGGAGGAGCGAGAGGAGAAGCTCGCCACTGACACTGAAGCAGGTATGATCGCTGCTAATTGTATTCACTTTGATAATTATTAATTACATATCTCTCAATGTCAATATTGTTTCCTTAACAGGCCAATGGACTCTGTGCATTAGAGAGGCAGATGTGAACGATGAGTGCAACAGAATTCTCAATAGCAAGCGCTTCATGCTGGACATGCTCTACGCTCAGGCAGCAACCAGCAAGGATGGGGGGAATGTAGGAGAGTCAGAGAAGGATGCATGTAAATGTGAGAAGGAGACAGAGGTCTGTGATTCCTCTGTGACTAGTCTGGCCAGCAGGATCTCCACACTGGAGGCTCACAGACAGGCCAGAGAAGAAAATGTGAAAAAAATGGAGGTGGGACATCTGGACAATCAGGGCAGCGTTCGAGCAGTGGCAGAGAAATTTGGAGATTTGGTCAAAGGCCTAACAGGTCCTCCAGAGGTTGAGGCCTCAAAAGAGCAGCAGCAGCAGACTGACAAGTCATCAGCCACTGCCTCATCAGCTTTACCTCCAAAGAAAGAGTCAGATTGTATCTGGGATCAGCTGATGGCAGCACCCAGGGAGCTGCGCATCAAGGAGATGGACTTCACAGACCTGAGAGACGAGGATGACATGGACATTTTAAATATGGGTAGCATGATTGGGTCAGGTGACCTGATACCACCACCTCCCCCTCTACCATGCTTTGCTGCCCTGCCACTACCCCCACCCTTGTTTGGGTGCCCACCACCACCTCCCATGCTTGGTAAAATGATGCCCCCACCCCCACCATTCATGGCCCCTATCCCCCCACCCTCCCCTCATGTGGTTCAAGGGGAGGTGCCTCTCTTCCAGAAGAAGAAGAAGACCATCCGTCTCTTCTGGAGCGAGGTGCGTCCTGTGGATTGGCCGTGCAAAAGCCATAAATTTTGTAAGGAGTCCCTCTGGTCCAAACTGGAGCCAATTAAAGTGGACACGTCCAAGTTGGAGCAACTGTTTGAGTCCAAATCCAAGGAGCTGCCTGTCACAAAGGTAATTTACTGTTGCACTGCTGTTACAGTAGACTAGTGTCAATGCAGTATTCTCTAGGCTTTCAGAGAAGCCAGGTTTATTTTGCAGCTCTGGTTTGTTTTTCAGGAGTTCCTGGCTTATTTTGTGAGTTTAGTGATAAATTCAGGCAAACATCTGTCACCCTGGGTGTCTCGCATACTGTAAATGAGAGTGTACAGGGTAAAGTAAACATTATACTGTAGTAATAGTAATAGTAAAAAGGAACGGGTGACCACATTACACACATAGGACCACCTTGTCAGGACAAATACTAAACTATTTATTCATTTATGGTTATATTCAAGTTCCCCTGAAGTTACAGTTTGGTTTCACACAGTTTCACCCCCCCAATGGTGCCACCATCAGAGTAAACTGTCAGATTCTTCTGATAATATCTCAAAGGGTGACCCCTAACTCTGACTGTAGCTTGGCACTTAAGCCATCAGTTAGTTCTTCATGCACAATGAGCAATATTTGAAAATCCCACGAGTATGTGACTAACATTCAAATCACTTAGGCTAATGCTCTCTACAGATTATATGCTCTTTTATCAACTTGCGTGTACATTGTTACATCTAACCGTGTTGTTTCTTGGTGTGTAATGAGCAGTTCATCCTCTCATGGCCACTAGAAGGGAAAATGCAATCAGGTGATGCAGAAAAATCCTGATAGATGTGGAAAAGACCTATTGTATGTTTGATAGTTGCTCTCTGATGTACGTTTCCCACATAGATACAAAAAAATAATGATTATTTTTAACATAACAAAAAAGGGGAATGTTTCATTAATTTGGGGCAGTTTTCACTCTTTACTGTCTAGAAGAAAATCTCATTACTGTTGTTTTATTACTTTGTATCTAGTGTATTGGATAATTGAGGCTGATGATAGTACCTGCAACAAGACATCAGTTAGTGTAAACAGGCCCGGTTTATGGCATTAGGAGGTAAAGTTCTATCACATCTCCATTTTATGTCAAAGGATGATAGGTCAGGTGTGTATTTACACATATTTTGCGTAGTGAATCTTTAAACTACAAAGAACTGCTTCCACTAGCCAGGCTACCTGACTTAATAACGAACTTCTGATTCTAACAGAAAGCTGCTGTTGATGGCAAACGACAAGAAATCATAGTCCTGGATTCAAAACGCAGCAATGCAATAAACATCGGCTTGACTGTCTTACCTCCTCCCCGCACCATCAAGACTGCTATCCTCAACTTTGACGAATACGCACTAAATAAGGAAGGAATTGAGGTAAAGCACTTAAGACATGTCTGTCTATATTGGTCCTGCATATTATATTTTAAAGGACACATATTATGAAACATTCACTTTTAGAGCATCTTCTGGCATTCACATGGTTTTCTGGTTTGTGTAGAGACACACAAAACATGAGAAAAGACGGTCCCTCCCTGTTTTGCTTTTTCCGCATTTGTAAAATCCCCTGGCTCAAACGCGCTGTTCGGATTTCTCTCTCTCTATGATGTCATACGAAATGATGCGGCAGTTAATTTGCATAGATGCTCCTCGGACTGAGATCTGTTGTGGTGCTATCAGTCTGCCACTGTGATTTTCTCACTTGAACAGCAACATGGTACAGCTCAGAGGAAAGCACGGATTCTGCTCTGCACAAACGCATCTACCTACATCCACCCTCAAAGCCAGCAAAGACAATGTGGATAGCATATATTTATTGTGGAAATGTTTCTGTAAGATAGCATATATTTATTGTGGAAATGTTCCTGTAAATGTCCCTAAAACATTGCATGTTATGTGTTAACACTGATCATGTCACATCGGGGTGCAATGAGGGTCAGTACAACACTGGATTTACTTCCAGACTGAAGCTCAAGAGTTGATCTATTCCAACTGTCTGTGAACCTCACATCCTGATGCTTTTAAGTGTTGCTATTTTAATTATTTTACTGCTTGTGTATGACTTTAGCCTGTTTAACTTAGCCACATTAGCCCCAGTGTAATGCTGCACAGCTAACATGGCTAACAGTATTACAAGCCGAACAGCAGAAACAGGTTAAGGGTTCAGCTAGAAATAATGATGAACAGTGTACCAGAGAATTTGCGTGATTTTTTTAAGACTGATTTCCTGTGAGTAGTGGGTTGGATGGATGGTGGTAACTTGTTTATCTAGCATCGTTGTAACAGCACCAAACCTCGTGTAAACATGTTACTGGTGTTGCTCTATTAGACAACACTGCCCAGGTGTGACAACAAGAGTGGTGTGACAATAGCAGGCTCCCACTCGAACATCTGTGATTGTTTAGTTTTTGGTTTAGAAGAGGTTATTATGGTGAAATCTATGCTAGAAATGCAGCTAACGGTGCCAGACAACATTAGCAGAGTTAATGCTGAATACCAGAGCTGTCCAGAACCCGGAAGCATGGCTTAGTTGGAGTTGGTGGGTGGCTCCTGTTCAGCGCTGTGGAGCTGACCACTCAGTACACTGGGCTTTTAGGGAGGAGGACAAGGAGCTAAAACAGCATGTTCACACAGAAGGGAAAAGACGGTCTGATGCTACTAGGCGCTCTGAGGAAACCAATGAACTTTATGTTGGTGTAAACATTTTCTAGTAGAACCCTTTAAATAAACCTTAAAATGAGTATAATTTGTGACCTTCAAGTACTGTCTAGCACTTCCCTATCAAATAAAACCCACTGAAGCTCACAAGGTCGAAAATAAATATGGTTCTCTTGAATGTTATTTACACAACACAGTAAAATACACTAACTTTCCCCAGCAGAGAGTAAACTTCTCTATTTGCCCACATTGTTGACATATCCATGTGGTTTTCTGATGGCTTTTTGGCTGATGTAATGTCATTAATCACCACAATGACTGAAGCTTCACAAGCATCTTTTCAGCTCATTTTAAAAACCATACCGTAGACTTTTGAAGGACTACAAATCAGCAGATAATGATTAATGTTGCATCCCTTTGGTATTATATAACGCAAGCTTCTCCTTCAGTTCATTCTCAGCACACAGATGTATTCCACTCCACCTTTTGTCTCTGGAGGGATTTTCCACCAGACAAAAATAATAATAATAAAATAAACAGAGCTAGAAATGTCAGAATCTTTCCTTCTCTATGATTGTGTCCCTTGACATATAAATAAAAAAATGGCATAGGTACTAAAAAGCTTTTGAAAAGCTGACTTGATGAACGATCCTGTAAGCCTGCTCCTTTCCCTTCCCCTCCTCGTTTTTTCCTTCTCCTAGAAAATCCTGACAATGATCCCCACAGAGGAGGAGAAGCAGCGGATCCAGGAGGCTCAGCTGGTAAACCCTGATATTCCCCTGGGGAGTGCTGAGCAGTTCCTGCTCACCCTCTCCTCCATCACAGAGCTGTCTGCCCGCCTGCAGCTGTGGGCATTCAAGATGGACTATGAGCTGATTGAAAAGGTCAGACACATTCCTGTTCATTCTAATCACATCACTCATTGTGTAAAGTAACTTTTTTATTTTAACTTTATTGTGAAATATGAATAAAAAAAAACTATAGATATTTGGGGGAATACACTTGTTTACATTTTTGCCAGGAGTTAGATGAGTATGATGCCACAGCTGATTAGCTTAGCTTAGCATAAAGCCTGGAAAAGAAGGTACGGCACCAATAAATGTCACAAATTCAAACATTACATCGTGATTATTTGCACAAAGAAAAGTGTAAAAACATGTTAGTGTGGACTGAGCCACACTAGCTATTTCCCCTGTTTCTAGTCTTTAGGCTAAGCTAAGATAGACTAACTGAATGCTGGCTGTGGCTTCATATTCCACATAAAGACACGAGTGGAATGAATCTTTTTGTTTGTCTAAGAAAGTAAATAAGCATTTTTGCAAAATTTTCAGGATTACTGCATTTTTTTATTCAGTGCAGTAGAACCAGAAGTACACATTTTTTCAGAAATGCCTTTTTAAATGTTTTATATTTTTGGCAATTTTACTGTACATCTTCATCGAGGGTAAAGAAGAGCCAGATTAACTGGCAGAAATGAGAACAAACCAGGATTTTCCTGCCTTTGTAGGAAGTGGCAGAGCCTCTTCAGGACTTGAAGGAAGGGATGGACCAGTTGGAGAAAAACAAGACACTCTGCTACATCTTGACCACGCTGCTGACCATTGGCAACTTCCTCAATGGCTCCAATGTGAGTAGTTCCCAAGTAGTTCTGCCTGTCATTTTTTCTGTCTAAGAGAAATTAGGGAGTGAGGTCAAGTGATTGTGACTTCTGGAAGTTTTTGTCTGGCTGCTTGTGTCTGAATTTGCATCTCTGTCTCTGACTTTGTTGTCTCGTGTTGTGGTTTTTGTGTTTCTGTAGCCTTGCATATGTACATGCATCTGATTTACGTAAGAGTGAGCCATTTAAAACCGGCAAAAAAACAGGAGAGAGTTTGTCAAGATTGTGTCTTTCATGACAAGTTGAGGCTTTTTTGTTTGTTTGTTTTTTCTGGCGTTGCTGTGGCAAGCAGAACAATCTGTTGGGGCTCAGGTGGACTGTGGTTTCTGATAATCACAGCCTAAAGAAGCTACATATCTACTCAGCACACTCCAGTGAGCCCCTTTTTCCTGGCTGTGCCAAAAAGAAAATTCACTGCAATTTGGTTCCTGTGTAGTAGCTCTTGATCTTTAATTTCAGATGGTTGTTTCCATCTCACATTCTGAGCATATTGCTGTCTATGCATGGATCTACAGGCTAAAGGCTTTGAGCTGAGCTACTTGGAGAAAGTCCCAGAGGTAAAGGATACAGTTCATAAGCAGTCTCTGCTGCACCATGTCTGTTCCATCGTGGTCGAGAAGTTTCCAGACAGCACTGACCTCTACTCTGAGATAGGAGCTATCACTCGCTTGACAAAGGTTAGCTTTGTTTAACTTTTCAAAACTCGGACAGTTTCATCACCATATCAGTTTGTTACTGCAGATGCAAACGCCTAAACAGAGTGTGGTGAGTTCTGTCTGTGATATTGTTGTCAGGTGGACTTTGACCAGCTTCAAGACAATCTGGCCCAGATGGAGCGAAGGTGCAAAGCATCATGGGATCACCTCAAGGTCATTGCAAAACATGAGATGAAACCAGCACTGAAACAAAAAATGTCAGACTTTCTCAAAGACTGTGCAGAAAGAATTATTATTCTGAAGATTGTACATCGAAGAATTATCAACAGGTAACATTCACATGTACTGTATCCCACAGATTAAAATGTTTCTTACATTTTGCCCGAGGTTACTATATTGTCACTTGCATCTGCAGGTTTCATGCCTTTCTACTGTTCCTGGGTCATCCAATATATGCAGTGCGTGAGGTCAGCATTCATCGCTTTAGCAAAATACTAAGTGAATTTGCCCTGGAGTATCGCACAACAAGAGAGCGTGTGCTACAGCAGAAGCAGAAGAGGGCCAACCACCGAGAGAGGAACAAGACCAGGGGGAAAATGATAACAGATGTAAGTGGTCTTCACCATGAGCAACAGTCACATGTACACTTTGTCCATTTCCTGATCCTTGTCTCTGTTTAGCACTTCCTCAGTTCTGTGAAACAATACAATAACCCCTTGACACTATTTGGGGCCTTGTAGTGATACAGTTCTTCAATATACAGGTTACTGTAATAACAACCAGTGTAATGTTTTCAGTGGGTCTCATTCTGTAGCTGCAGCAGGCTGAGAAACGCCAGAGCAAACACCTCTCTGCATGATTAAAATCCTATAAAAACCCCAAGGAGTCAGCACAATGAGCTCTGGCAGCCCCCCCTCAAAATAACCCCAATTTGATCATTCTGTCTCAACTCAACTCAACTCAACTTTATTTATATAGCGCTTTACCACAGCGCAGCTGACCAAAGTACTTAACATATCGTACAAATATAAAAAAAAAACAACACATAAAAAGCTATAAACAGTAATATAAACACTAACACTACAGACAGAGTCTCATTCCTGGTCAAACGCCAATGAATACAAGTATGTCATCAAATAAGACTTAAAAGTAGACAGTGAGGGGGCCTGCCTAATATAAAGCGGCAACGCATTCCATAGGTTTGGACCTACCACAGCAAAGGCTCTATCCCCCCCTAGTTTTCCGCCTGGCCCTCAATGCTTCCAGAAGAAGCTGATCTGCTGATCTGAGGCACCGTGACGGGTTATACGGACATAAAAGTTCCACCAGATAAGATGGTGCCAGCCCATTTAAGGATTTATAAACAAATAAAAGAATCTTAAAACGAACCCTAAAACGCACCGGAAGCCAGTGGAGAGATGCCAGCATTCTGGACCCTCTGGAGGCGGGCAAGCCCCGACTGACCAACTCCAGCGTACAGTGCATTACAGTGGTCCATACGAGATGTAATAAACGCATGGATCACTGTCTCAAACTGCTGGCCGATTGCACATGCGGCCCCAAAAAGCCTAAGTCTACAGGAAGAGGGTCGCCAGACGTATTCTGGCCAAACACTATAATCTCAGTTTTAGCCTCATTTAACTTCAAGCAATTCAATGACAGCCAGGCCTTAATATCGGCAAGACATGCTAAAAGCGGTTTGATCGAGTAGGTGTTCTTTTTAGTCAGTGGCATAATAATCTGGACATCATCAGCATAGCAGTGAAAAGAGACCCCATGTTTCCTAAAAATAGAGCCAAGGGGAAGTAAATACAAAGAAAAAAGCAAAATGGAGCCCTGTGGAACCCCAGATAACAAAGGGGCTGTCACAGATTCCACCTCTGCCAGCCCGACAGACACTGATCTACCTGATAAATATGACTGAAACCATGCTAGGGCAGCACCACGAATGCCCACTAAGTCTCGAAGGCGAGATATCAAAATGTCATGGTCCACCATGTCAAAGGCAGCAGTCAAGTCCAACAGGACAAGAATCACATACTCCCCTGCATCAGTGGCCAAATAAATATCATTAACAACCTTTAGTAAGGCTGACTCTGTACTATGCATGAGTTTAAAACCAGACTGATAAGTCTCCAATAAATTATTGTCATCTAAAAAGGATTTCACCTGCGCATAGACCACTTTTTCTAAAATCTTCGAGATAAAAGGTAACTTAGAAATAGGCCTAAAATTACTCAACATGGATTGATCCAAACGTGGTTTTTTGAGTAGAGGTTGCAAAACTGCATGCTTAAAACAACCAGGCACAACACCAGAAGACAAACTACTATTAATAATTTCCAAGACCGTGCCTCCAATACATGGGAAGACTTCCTTAAATAAAGCCGGAGAAACAACATCTCGAGGGGAGCCAGAAGGCTTGGCCTGGGCAACCACTCCCTCCAAAAAATCAGTGAAAATCCCTCCAAAAATGTGTGAAAATCAAGCCTTTGGATGTCCCAGAAGGAGAAATAACAAGGCCCTTAACCACACTCTTACAACCTAATACATATGCTCTTTTGTTCCATTATATACAGCGCATCTGTAATGTTTATTTTATAGAGGTGTGAAAAACTCAAAGGATCTTTGAAGGAATAGTTTGTAAAATACCCTTATTCATTTTCTTGCTGAGAGCTAGATGAGAAGAGTGATACAACGCTCTTATCTGTTTGTTCAAAACGACGCTGAAACCTGCCTGTTTATGATTTGAGAAAATTCTGCATTTGTCAAAACCAATTAGATAACTAAGTAATGTTACGCTTAACAAGCTGAAGACTTTGTTTCTTGAAAAATGTATTTTTAGATAACTTTTCTCTTGATACCAGTAATATACTGTATTTACAACACACCTTATTCTTTTCTCCATTTCCTTCACCTTTGTAGAGTGAGGATGGCAATGATAGTGAGGTAGGACGGTAACTGTGTGCCAACAAGTGCATGTAAACTTTCTGTGGTGACTAATATTCAACCAATCTGTGCTGTCAATAGTATTTAAGGGGATTCACAAAGGATGAATCATTAGTGAGACTGACAGGTCCTGTGTGTGTGTGTGTCAGTCACCCCACATGAATATGGAAGCTCAATGATGATGACACCTTGAAAAAGAGACGGTTACTTAATGTTGCTTCGAGTGTTAAATGAATTTCACTAGGAATCTTTGCAGATACTTACTGGTACAAAATAACTGATATTAGGACTCTTGAATCTGGCATTAGTGCACTGTTGAAACAAATAGTCATAAAAAGAGTGCTTTTTGTATGCTTTGTGTCAGAGAATAAACATGCATGTAGAACTTGTGATTGTGAAATGACTTTTTAATTTAGGCTGAAAGCTGCTGTGTCACTACTTAAATGTAACTTATATGACAAGTTTGATATTTTAAGATTTCATCATCTACTGTCAGATATTATAATCCTGTGTCTTCCTGAATACAGAGTGGTAAATTTGGCAGTGCCTCTTCAGCCACACTGGAGAGCCAGCCTCAGGGTATCCAGTATGCTGAAGATGCAGCTGAACATGAGAACATGAAGGCCGTACTGAGGAGTAGCCAGCAGGACACAGAGAGTGGAATGTTGATGGTGCCGGGCCTCCGTACACGCACCAGAGTCAGCAGCACTAGAGGTACGTTTCATAAAATATTATAGCGTTACAACCCCTACAAAGCTTTCATATTAATTGATCTCACTCACGTAGTTCACTTCCCCTAGGCTCCAGCAGCACAGCACAAGTATCTCAGTTTTACTGCTGAAAGTCTGACACCTTTAAGCTAGCCTCTCACCAAGACTGTTACTTTTAACCATGTTTTATCCATCTTTCAGCAAGGCTCCAGGAATGGCAGTCTCTATTAGTCCAGAATGAAATATGTCAACATGTCAGGATTGTTTTGAGATTCATGATCACCAAGAGGTTCACATTTGTGGTTTTGAGTTAAATTTCTCATCATCTACAGAATGGATTTACATAAAATTTACATTCAACTAAGATAGTGAACATAGATATTATACCTGCTAAACTTCAGCAGCATTGTTATTGTCAGTATGTTAGCATGCTGACATTAGCATTTATCTCAGTGCATCACTGTTTCTCAGTACTGCCTTTTGACCATACAAATGCTCTACTACACAATATGCTTATCGTACTCTTATCCATTCTGACCTTATTGTTTTAAGGGCATGTTCCCCCATGGTGCTCTGCAAATGATGACCCAGTGAACTGCACAGATGACACAGCTGATGAGATCATGGAGAGGATTGTCAGGTCAGCCACTCAGGGGCCCACCCAGCGGACCCAACCTCGAGAGAGGAGACGATCACGAGCCAACCGAAAATCATGTGAGTCATTTTAACTATTGGACAAATCACAAAGTTATGAATGCTATCAGGTGCATATGGAAACACATATATTAGTCCAAAGCGCATATTTATCAGAACGTCCTTCTCTCTTTTACTTCCACTGTACTGGCAACAGTGAGGAGGACACTGAAGAATGGTTTGACAGCAGAGGAGGCTAACGCTCTTGGCTTGTCAAGTGGTTCGGAGATGCAGGTGTGAGCTGGGCTGGGATCCCATTGAACATTAAGATGTCTGGAGGCCCGTTCACTGCCCTTCCAATGCCTACACCCAACCTGGTAACCCCACCCACTGTGGTTTGGCACTAAAATCCCCTCTTGATGAGTAGATCTCATCCTAATGCATTCATCTTACATAGGTTTGACACAAGTGCTTCCTGAAGAGAGTGGATACAAGGCTGAACTGCTTGGCAGAGAGAGCAGAAACAAACCACTAAGCTTTGCTATTGCTGGACAGATATGATCTGCGCTCACAAGGTTTATTCACAAGATACAGCTTACACATGCGCAAAAGTGTTTTTTTTTTTTAGGCTGAGGGCATCAAAAGATTGGTAATGCATATGCTTCGAGTTCCATGGCCTTGACTGAATCCAGGGGGCTAAACAGACAGTACTCAACCCTCCTCTCACTGTGTTTGTTTGGGTTCAATGTCGGCCTTAGCTTTAGTGACAAACTGAGTTGGAAGCCATTGCATCTATTGAATAGATGGCTTTGTGCAGAGCGTTATTCTGTTATATACTACTGTGGTAGTTTTGTGTTTCTATTGATTTTGCTCAAGAAGGTGCTCAAATAAGAAACAGTTGCACTGGATGTAAAACTTGGCTATCAATGGAATGTGAAATTCGTGACACTGATGAA